TGTAAATAATAGAAACACTTTAGTCTCGATATAGTGGTAAAATAAATATGCTTATGCTTGGTTTTTAGATTCCCAACTGAAAAAAATTCAAGAAATATTTGGCTATCACTTGTAGGACTTGAAGAAAATGAAGGTATCTAAAAGAGTGTTATGCTCGGAGCATTTTGATCCTAATGATATTCTTCAAAAAGCTAATATCTCAAGCCTGGAGTACTGCCAAAACTAAGTTCATTGTTTCGAGAAAGCTCATTTAGGTAACTAAAAACTTTCTTAATTATGTTTCAGAAATGTTCATTTAAGTTGGTAGTTTATCTTACAAAGAAATTTTTATATTGTTAGTTCTTTAAATTTTGTAGGTGCTTAACAAGGACAAACTTTTTTATAAACTCATATTACATGCCTCTTTCTTTGATTATTTTCATGAACTACCTTATTATTAATCAAAATGTATACTTATCTTTACATTAAAAGTTCTGAATACTTTGTTACAGCTCTGATCAGTATTTTTGACAGCTCTAGTAAGAAACCAGAAGATTTTTCTATGCCGCACACATTTATGGATGATAATAAGTAAGTTAGTTTACTACCTAGTTTTACAAGTTAAAAACTATCAATGGATAGGTTTATTGTTGTACAGTTCTACGTGTTTTCGGATTTTACAAATTTTTTTTTACCAGATCCGCTATAAGAAGCGTTTCATTTAAAATCCCCACCTTGTATATAAGTATGGTAAATTTATTGATTTAATAACTTTTATAAATTTAGTAGTGTTAAAAATCTAAATTTTGATTTAAAAATCTCTCATTTACCAATTTGTAAAACTGTTCAAATATTAACCCCAAAATTGAATTCGTAAATTTGTTTAAAATAAATCTTGATTTATTTATCTTGTTTTTATTTTATTTTATTGAACATCTTTATATGTAATAAATGTATTATTCTTGGAAAAAAATAGTATTTTTAAGCTTTTTACCTACATTCCACTGAACTTCATACCCTTATACCAAATCCAATCGGTTTTGAAGTTTAAACCAATAAAAAGTTTATTGCACACCATATCGATTAGTATTTCATTATTTTTTTATAATTAGTGTAACGAAGTTACTATTTTTTATTTATTTGAGAAATATAGGATCCGTCGGAAAACCGAATTTAACATTTTATTTAATTATTGTCATTTACCGTTTGGTTTTAATAAATTAATTTTATTTGAAAAGACATAGAATTTATCGGAAAACCGAATTATTATTTTTATTTTATTTTTCATATTCATCATTTAGCTTTAACGTCAAAAATTCGAGTTTTCAAACGTTTACTATACAGTATGGTTCAAATGAAAGGAATAAATTCATTATAATGGAAGTAGCTGGTTTTTCGAAAAAATGCTCGGACAGGTCAATTTTGTTTACTTAAAGCGCAATTTTTTAAATAAAATTCAATTTTCCCCCACTTCCCATTTTTGGGCAGTGACGTCATTGACAATTTTTTTAAATAGCAACCCAAATTTTTTTTTCTTGATTTTGATAGATCTTGCAATTTCCTACTCGGAAACATAATATTTGAAATATCTGACATAACAATTTTTTTTGAAAAAAAGTCATTTCAAGATCAGATACATAAATTTTATGTTATTTTGAAACACAATAAATTAATAACAGATAATTATTTGTAATTAAATGCTTAATCTAACAAAATAATAATAAAAAAAATAATAAAAAGAATTTGTGAAATTGTCATTAAATTCGTTTTATTATTATTATTATTATTTTTTTTTTTAAATTAAGCACTTAATTACAAATAATTATCTTTTATTAATTTATTGTGTTTCAAAATAACATAAAATTTATGTATCTGATCTTGAAATTACTTTTTTTCAAAAAAAATTGTTATGTCAGATATTTCAAATATTACGTTTCCAAGTAGGAAATTGCAAGATCTATCAAAATCAAGAAAAAAAAATTGGGGTTTCTATTTAAAAAAATTGTTCATGACGTCACTGCCCAAAAATGGGAAGTGGGGGAAAATTGAATTTTATTTAAAAAATTGCGCTTTAAGTAAACAAAATTGACCTGTTCGAGCATTTTTTCGAAAAACCAACTACTTCCATTATAATGAATCTATTCCTTTCATTTGAACCATACTGTATATTGAATCTTCCCATCAAAATTTTTATAAGTCAGCGGACGGTAGCCTGCGATTCCCCACTTCAATCTTCAATTAATAATCGAGTTTGCACGACGAGTGGCGAAAATCTCCTGTAAAACAAGCTGCACCGGCCAGATCTCATCATCTTTCCGCCGACCGCTTGAGCTAACGAGAAGCAATTCTAACAATACCAGCCGCCTCCGATAAAAACTAACAAAACCCGTTTAACGAACACAGGTTAAAAAAAAAACTGATTTCTTATCGCGTTGTTTTTGGAAATAAATAAAGACACATTCCGATTTATACCTGCTTTATTTTCTGTTGAAATTGAAATAGCGAACTGATTTTATGATTTTATCTTTAATAAGATACGCCACTGGTATCAACAGACTTTTAGTTGCGTACAACAGCAGCGTTGCCAGACCAGATTTTCGATTACAGTCTGTCTTCTTTCGATCCGCATAAAATATCTTCTTTCTCTTTTCCGATGATTGGGACCAAACAAAACATACTTTATGAATGAAATGCATCATCTGTTGTTTCTTTTATCTAAGGTATCAACAGTAGCAACCTTAGAATATATAGTCAGGAAGGAGGAATCCTAAACGACCTTAGAATCGCGATGGTATCTAATTTTGACAGTGAACTAGACGAATATGGCGACAAGTGTTTCCGGTCTACCAGTGACGTACTGTCATAAAGGGGCGTGGAAAAGAAAATAAATTCTCATTTGCGTGTGATCAAAATTTACCGATTTCTTTTATTTTAACGAATTGCTATTTTCTTGCGAAAATTTTGCATTTTTTTTATTATGTGAATAAATTTTACTTTAAAATTGCATGTTGGGTGGGATAAATATAGGAAAATATTTTTGGGATAATTTATAGAGGGATTTCATTTAATGTATTAACCCATTATCTGCCAAAGGTGCGTTTACGCACCTTTTGATTCTAATTTTTTTTGATAATTTTTTCACGTTCTTTTTGAAAGTTTGAAAGAAAATAGCTTTTTTGCAACCAAAACAGTGAGAGATAATCGAACTAAATGCCCAGTTGAAGATAAAAAAGCCATGGCAAAAAAAGGAAAGAGGCTCTTATACTTCTGCATTTGATTAAAACTTGGGAGTCCTTGTAACAAGATGGAATGACAAGTCTGTAGTTAGGGTAATGACAAATACATGAAATGTTTTACCACTCATGCAGACAAAACGCTATAACCGGAAGGAGCGCAAGTACTTATTCCTCAGCCAAATGTAATCCATCAATACAATAAATATATGGGTGGGATAGACCTCCATGATAACGGTATCTCCAACTATCGCATCGGAATAAGAGGCAAAACTAGTGATGGCCTTTGTTTACTAAGCTGATAGGAAGCATGGTGGTAAACAGTTGGAAAATCTATAATATAGCGAATGAATTCAAAATATCATAAGTAGAATTTTGCTCGAACTTAGCACTCTCCTAGCTAAAACATCGATGTTACTTCAAATACTACAGTATTCAATTCAAACAATGAAACACCCTCTAAATCTGCTCTTCCAGCTGATGTGAGATATGACAACATCAGACAGACGTCATAATTAGGGAGATTAATAGTGCAAGGAAAAAGTGTCAATTTTGCAAAAGTAACAGTATTTATATGTGTAAAAAGTCTAAGGTTCATTTGCACCCAGACTGCTTTGAAAATTTCCACTTAAAAAAATTAATTTTCTTTGTAATATTATTAACTGTTTTTGGCCAAGCGTGCGTATACGCACCCACGATTTTTTTCTACAACTGTTTAATTTTTTTTTTTTTGAAATAAGTCTTAATTTATGCATTTTAAATACACTTTAATAAAAAAAATATAAATACATCTTATTTTACTTGTCTTGGCCCGTAATGGGTTAAAAAAAAATATTGTCTTTTTTACGTCTTTATTATGACAATCTCTTGATTAATCTACATTTTAAATACCACAAACAATCTGTGGCAAATGGACTTCGAATCCGATGCCAGCCCCCACCCAACACACACACAATCTACATTTTACAAATTATTAAGGTTTAAAAATAAATATGTTTTGTAGATATGCGTTAAAAAAAATATCCTATACTTATATTTAGGTCAAACACCGCTGTGATATTTCTTTCTTAGATGTTTTTGTTGGAGTACATATAAAACTTCCTAATATCGAAGAGAATTTCTGATCATTTTATCACGTAATATTATTAGTAATATTTTTTGCAGGACAATTTTACATAAGCAGGTAAAACACCTTTTTAAGAAAGGATCCTAAATAAGGAAAAAAGAACAAACATAAATATAGAAGAAAAAATAAATAAATACAAGGTACTATCTACTTAGTGATTTTTTTATGTATTTATGTATTTTGCTGATCCTTTATAACAATTTTAAACGATTTAAGACTTGTATAGGTTAGCCACATTAAATGTAAAACTACCCATAAAAAGGGTTCTTTGATAAGGTAATGCTATTGTATGTTGTATGTAGAATTAAGCAATATCTAAACATTTATTTCTTAAATATTCGGTAATTCGGTAGGTATTTCCTAGGAAATACTTATTGAATTCACAAACATTTTCTTTGTATAATATCTTATATCTTATAATAATATTTTTCCATTTTTTTTTATGTCTTTTTAACCTAATAATGTGATGGATTTATCAGTCTACCAAATAATTATAAATGTTGCACACTTGAAGGCTAAGCATAATATAACCTATAGCTTGTTGTATATGATAAATTTTTATAATTAAGGAAACATTTTTATTTTTTAACCTAAAAGCGACATATAAATTATTATTTACATTCAGTTATACTGTTTCCATTGATCTTCTTCAATGGTATCATTGCTGCTGTGACTATACTTTGTAGGTCTTGGGTAAGCTTAGGTTATTCAATTTCTATATTTTGCAATTTATCTCGTTTGTTTCAATTTAAGAAAATTTAATATTTTTCTTCTACAGTATGTTGTAGAAAATGTGTGTGCTTTTGTACCATACCAGAGTTTTTACTGGTATGGTTACTGGTTCATTAAATTTTTTTTGGAATGGATTCATACATCCTTGCTGTTTTGTAGAGATCCACAGAGGCAAAACCGAAGCTGATGCCATTGCAGGCGGTCGACAATAACGATTTTCACACACCCGTCACTTTGTTGAAAGGATGTGTGCTGCTCTCAATAGAAGATATCTTCTTGGATGGCACCTTAGAAGGAAATACAGCTTTGTTTTCAATTTTGCCTCTAAAAAGAATATTTATCCCATAAAGTTTTGCTTCCTAAGGGCTTAATAAAAGTGAAAACATAAAAAACCATTTGTTCATTTTCGAACCAACACAAAAAAGTTATAGATCAATCATTTCACTAAATAGTTCACCCCCCAAAATCTATACATCCTTATTTTCACATTTCAACTCCCTTTAATTCCTGAGAATTCGCTAATGTATGGTAGGCACCATATATATTATAAAACTTACCCCATCTGGCTTTGACACAGATTTAAAACTTTCTGAAAATCCAAGAGAACTAAACTCCATTCTAGGTAAGGAAGGTTTATAAGGAATAACTGTGTTTTCCGACTTTTCATCTACCAGAGAGTCAAAATTGCCAGTTTTTACTCTATAAAAAAACACTGTGTTGAATATTAACAATTATAAATTAAAATTTAAAGAACAAGCTAAAAGACCAGTGACATTAATAGTAGACATGTTTGAAGGTCTTAGTAAAAAAAACATTGGTGTCAGAATACATAATTACTTTAATGAAATGTATTGAAAAAGTAGTACATGGTGCAGGAAAGGATGCGAAACAAAACGATTCTTACTTCTCATCTAAATCTTTATCAATCAAATCTGAAGAAGTCTTGGGTTTTATGTAACCAGGTTTCAAAAACTGGTCTCGCAAATTTTGGGATGTTCCTTCTCTTTCAAATGGATTGCTTCCAAAAGAAGATATATTTGGAGTATCGGCTAAAAGTGAAACAATTTGTTAGCAGTAAAATTAAAAATAATCATGTTTACAGTCCAAATATAAATTAATAATTGTTGTTCCTATCACATGAATCACATCCTACTTAAATAATACTTATCTCCCTTATAAGTAAATATAAAAAACTTTTGTGGAAATGGCAAATTTGCTTCCTTTACAAATAAAATATGTTACTTGTACATCCAGATTAAATAATACATAATTATGGTTCTTGGAGGTTTGTGAAACTTGGTACTCTTAATATGATCCATATTATGATTCATTGAACTTTAAACATGTGTTTCCATATACAATAGGTACATTAACTTTTCAATCTTGACTCCAGGAGAAAGGTATAGAAACACAATGCAGTAATCCCGCAGTTTAAGTGTCCCAGCATGTTACGCATATGTTAGAATACTTACTTCCATAATTAATTTTATCTTTGAATTTTGAGGGCAACGAAAATCTATGTTTCATGAAAAAATTAAGTCATAATATTCTAAAATTAAAGAATATTTTTATTCATTTTCAAATATTTTCCTTGCCCTCAAAATTAACTCAATTATTCAGTAAATACAATGTCAGTGCATGCACAATATGCAGGGATGTAAACAGCAGGTTTACCCACAATCCTATTAAATAGAGAGAAATAGAATGTGTGGCAGAGTGAGAACTACAATATCTCATGCTTGTCATAGTGTGGTGGTTAAATGGAGGGTTAAACCAATTAATCTCATATTAAAATATAATTAAGCACCTCATCTTTATTGTGCCTGATTCATGAGTTAAGGAACTGTTTGGTTCACTGGACTGTAAACATGTTTCCATATATGGGCATTGGACTGTAAAATTAACTTACAGGTTGAAAATTCTCTAAATCCCTGAAAACCAAATCTTTTAAGAATATCATTTATTTCCTGCTCAAAATATTGTTGCATTTGTAATGTATCTGTAAAAACGTCAAAACTTCTTCTAAAAACGGGATCATCAGACTCATCGGAGTTGTTTAAAAATTCGTTTATTTCAGGATTATGAGGGTGCCTAGAAAAAATTGTAAGTAAATTATTAGAATTATTGACTTATTTAAAATTTTGCAAGAGCACTTTATCGGAATCTGAGCTTGACTAACAACTTACTGATTGTGAGTATGTTCATTCTCTTCATTTAAGCCAAATATTTTTCTAAAAATGTCCATCACTATTAACAAAAATTTTATGGTCTCTGATGGATGCAAAGTTGGTGAAGTTCACATCACAGACACAGACATTGCGTTCGGTTTGCCACGTTCCTTTAACTCCTTTAACACTTTTAACTCCTAACGACTCTTTTAGCGTTCGGTTTAGTCCGATTAGTGACAGTTTAACACGCTTAAATGTCATTTAAAAGCACCCTAAAATTTGTCCCGCTCCAGCCCCTGACTGACCGAACTCGCCTAGATTCACACTTTTTCTGCTTTTTCACAGAACAGTCAGAACACAGAACACTTATCCTAAAGTTTGGGCACATAACCACTGTTTGGGGTTAGGTAGTATGTCAGTGTTGCCAGAATGTTTTTGTAATCGTATTATAATACTTGTTTATTAATTATTTCTCGATGATGATGGGTGAGATTTTCCGGGTTTTCCTCGCCTGTTAGTCAAATGGCACCATAAATCATCTTTAAGTCGCCCCGGAGCGCCACGGCAAATAATAATAATAGTTGTCTCTTTCCCCGCACAAGCTCAGCTTTTGGGATTAAAATTTACTCGTAAGGGGGTGAATTAGTGAGAGTATTATTATGATATTATTATTTGTAGTCCATAAATACATGCGATTATCCGGTTCCGCCAGCAACAATTTAAAATTACTTATTCTATGAAACGACACTGGCAGACTAACATTACCGCGAAATTCTGGAAGTCGTTCGACTTGGATTGACATTTATATCCTCTCTACCTACCGTAAGCTTTTTCAACTTCTTGCTTACGCATCCGCAGATGATAATACAAGAATATGTGTTATGTGCATCGAGATATTTTATCTCAATAGTTATGTGAGATTTTCATTTCAATTTTGGAGTTGTGTCCAGGCCGTTGGAGTTTATACCGGTTGGCGTAGCCAGGTATGTGTTGATTGGCCTTTGCAGTAGCGGAATAAGTACTGCAGTTTCCTTCTTTTCTTAGAATAATCTACTAGCATCCCTTTTTAGCTCGGGAGAAATGTACTAAACTGTTTTTCTACTTTGAAGCCGCCATGATAACAATTAAGCATCTTTCACTAATGAGAATAATTATAGAACTATTAACTCATAAAAAAGTCAAGAAAAATAATAATGAATATTAAATTGAAAAATATACTCAAAGGAAATACAGCAGAGATGGAAATTTTGGCTTTGTGTTTAACTTATTTTATTGTACGCCTTGCTCACATTTGAGTTGGAATTATTTTCTTTAGCCTGACTTTTAGTTTTTGAACTGGGTTCTACAAGCGACCTTTTATTTTGCTTACTAGGTGCAGATGGTGTTGCCATTTTCACTATTTGGCTACTCTTATTTTTTGTAACCAGCATTATTGAATACTAAGCATACTAATAATAAGACTAGTGAATTTGACGCAATTGCTAATTACATAAGAACCGATTCCACCTTTGAGGTAAATGAAGTTCAAATTACTTAACGAAGATTCAAATGACATTGAATAACACAACGGTGGAATCGGCCCTTAGAGACTGGTTTGAGAACCTATCTATTTCTGGCTAATGAGTCCTAAAAAGGGCGAAACCGGTCTAAGAATTACGTTCTCCTGAGTAAGCAAATTCAAAGGTAGAGTGTTGAAATTAAATTTCAGTCTCTGCATACTTTCCTCTGGATATACTTCAATACCCGTTACGATATTAGCCAAAATGAGTAGTTGTTTTCCGAAGGCAAAAGCTCGCTCGTATTTCATGTAACATATGGCTTTGTGTTGTATTTATTTTTTTGTCTTGTCACATTTGAGTGGGAATTGTTTTCCTTTTTTTTTATTATTTTTCTATTGTTTTGTAAAGATGAAAAAATTAAATGAATATGCGATTTTTGATTTGTGTTTTATTTTAAAAATATATATTGTACTCTAATTTGTATGCCAAAGGTAATTCAAGCCCAACAATCTTTATTTTTAATTAAAATTAATAGGAACATATTTCCAATATTTATTAGGTCCGTTCTGGTTCTTCAAGAATATGATGAAAACTGTCCGAGTACTAGTTGACCAGTGGAAAGTTAAAAAGTTTTACGCGACGAATAATTTGGTATTTAACTATTCCGCTGGATCTCGGACGGTTTAGAGCACATATATGCCGCGTTTGATGCCGCGTTTGAGAATCCACATCGGATGCATCTGAGATGTAAAAAATCTTTGATCACGTGATTCAGTATACGTAAATGTAATGGGACAGATGTGTCCGATATGGATAAAAAAACGCTCGAGATGTAAAAAATGCATCCGATGTGGATTCTCAAACGCAGCATGAATATCCATATCGGATGCATCTGAGATGTAGTAAATCTTTGATCACGTGATTCAGTATACGTAAATATAGTGGGACAGATGTGTCCGATGTGGATAAAAAAACGCTCGAGATGTAAAAAATGCATCGGATGTGGATTTTCAAACACGGCATTTGAAGAAACCAGAACAAGCCTATTATAAAAAACAGGCGACACTAAAAACTATGAAGACTACTAAAAACCATAGCTAAAAACCCATGTATGCGAGTATCTACATTGACGTCATAAATCGACGGTTTGGCAATAGCGCACTTTACAAACATTTGTTTTGACAACAACCAAAAAAAATGACAGTGACAGTTGTGACAGTGACAACTCAATTGATATTGATAAAATTCTCAACTCACTAAAAATTAGTAAGATTGTTGTTTTCTAATCATTGTGCTGCTATATTTTGATTAAAAAATGGTAATAATATTGAATGAATGTAAAATTATCGTGCACTATATGTATCATAATTTGTTTTAGTCATTTCAAGATAAAATTTCAGCCCTTATGGCTCGACCTGGTCAGGATCCAGTTGCCAAAGATGATGTACCATGGTGGATGAAATTTGCTGGCAGAGCGGTGGGCACAATAGGAGGATTCCGTAAGTTTTAACGATATAAATTCATTAATAAATTGTACAATTGTTATTAGGAGAAAGTTTACTTTATAATTTTAGTTGATTTTACTTTGTAATCTAAATTTTATAATACCTAATAAAAAATGTATTGAGTTAAGAACAGGAATACATTTTAATTTAGTACTAAGTTAAATTAAGAAATTTAGGGTCGTTTATTAGAAAGACTTTGTAAAAATGGAAAGAACATCTTTATTAGTTTAATAATGTTTTTGGTACTTATCAAAAACGTAAAAGAAGTACTTGTTTATAGTAGAAAAATTCTTAAATCATACAAAAAGACAATTGATTTTCTTTGTGTAATGAAAGATACCTAACCTAAGCTCTGTATCTTGATTGATTTACTGAAGTAGGTAAGTAGTGTAACATTACTAGTTGATAATTGATGCATTAATAAATAAATTTAAGGTTCATTATCAAATTTGAAACAAGACAATATTGGAGTAAAAGGTAAAGTATCAACTAGTTCTAAAAAATGTTTAATATATAAGTACTAAGTAATTATGAAAATTTGCTTAGTCGAATAGGACTAGTTATAAGTAAAGAAAATACAAGTTATAGAGATGTTATTTTGGTCCTAGATCATTTGGCAACTGGTGATTCATATCATAGTTTCCTATACCTATTTTAATATTCAAACATTTGAACCCAGTTGTTGCACCAGTCTTATTTTTTCTGATTTATCCAACAGTTGTACTGGGAAAGAATGTTCTTTTATTTTTCTTCTGGCATTACTCTGAAAACTTGCAAGGGTCCCCGTTTTTCTATTTTATTTTATAAGTAGGTACCTTTTTATAAAATTTGTCAATCTGAAAACACTGCTCTTTACTGATAGGGGATGGACCATATTTTGTTTGTGAAAATTTGCAATTGCTATTTAAGTATTTATTGATGCCATTTTGGTGAAAACTTTTCATGCCAGATAGCCGAAAACAAAGTGGGTGTTTTGTTTCTTAAATATTGGTTTGGTATAGGCAAGAAAGGCATAGTTTTATTTCTAAGTCACAATAAATCAAGTATTCAGGGAACGTTATTAAAAAATTCCAAGAGTCATAAGAAAAAAAAATGTGTTTTATAAATGTTGGTTCTGGGTATAACAATGAAGCTGTTTTTCATAATATATTTGTTTGATAAATCTGCAATTGCAACATATATATTATGTATTCTATGTGTTAAAGGTAATTGTCTTTATTACTTTCTATTGTAAATTTTATTACGTATTAGGTACTTTTTTATTGTATTTTTAAAATTAATATTTGTATATTAGGGTTTCCTATTTAAATAAATATTGTTACGCAGGTTTTTAATATCTCAATTTATTTCAACTAAACTTTTACAACAACTATACAACTGATCACATTAACATATAACATCTTTAATAAAACTGAAAACTGACGTCAGGATCATCGACTTATGTAGCTTGCTTTACCTTTCTCGAACTGTCCAGATTTTTCTTGACGTGGAATGACATTTCACGAATACTCTCCCTTCTTCTTTTACTCGTACCTTTACTTATGATGACCCCAACAAGCTAAAGGGTGCTATCTATCTGTGGTGTCTCTTGAAGGATAATTCTTGATGATTTTGTCTTATAGCTTGTTATCTACATTTTTCTTTCTAATTATTATAAAAAGTAAAACTTTAATCCATCCTTTCCTAATCTTACACTCAATATTATATAGTGTGAAAAAATTGTTTTTCTTTTGAAATGCATCAAATAAAAATAAATATTTATTTTTAATAAATTATACTAGTCAGGCACTGCTATTTTATTAAAATTATCCTCGAGTCATTTATTTTTTAAAAAATATTTTTTTGAATAGATTGTCCATTTCTTATTTTTAATAATTAAAAAATGTTCTAGTTGCTATGGCGTTAGGAGTATCAGTTTGCATAACCCTAAGTGCTACCGGAATTCTTGCTGGAATATGGCAAATCCTAGCTGGGTTTGTTTTAATATGCTGTGAAGCCCCTTGTTGCTGCATGTTTGTGGAACATGTTCAGAAATTAGCTGATTTTATTGAATCTCGGCCATATTGGAATAGAGCTGCTGTATATGTTGGGTAAGTATAAATAGAAAATTTATGTACAAATTAAAAAAAAAAAAATTAAGGAGAAAGACCATAATTAATTTTTATTATTGGATTATTAGTCAAATCTAAAAATATATTTAATCTAACTATACAGTAGAACCCCGATTATCCTTGTGCACTTTATCCGTGCTGTGCACAGATTATCCGTGGTTGGCGGCCAGAGGTTGTTGCACTTCACCGTTCTTTTCTGCTATTTCGCACATTGTCTTTTCTCCTATACCAACTAATAACTGCTTCTACCCTTACTCTGCTATCTGGTCTTTGTTTCTTTTATTTATTTATTTACGGGCAAGCCCATTTTAATTACAAATTACAATTATAAAAATTAATTAAAATATCACAAATAGTTATGGTGCTGTTGCACAAAGACATCATACATGTCATGCAAACGAGAAACATTTAAAATAATAAAATAATAACAGGTTAGTCGAAGGTTAAAATAGAGAAAACACACAATAAAACATTAACATTAAAGCTCAGTATTACGTAATTGAGTTTTGAATGATGAAAATGGAATATTGAACAGCCTGAGATCATTGTGCAAGTTAGCTAATCTAAGCATTCTTGGAATGCAGCTGTTAAAAGCCTGGTTTGATCTATAAAAAGGTACATAAATTTAATAATGTGAAATAAATTTTACCTTCTTTCTTTTTTAAATTTTTTTACTATTACCTAACCTAACCTGCCCTGAACAAGGTTCTAACCAACAATCTTTCAGAAACGATGGTAAGCATGATAAAATATTTTAAGCAACACTATAGAGCGATCCTCACTGCAATTTGCTTTAAAATCCATATTATTAAGTATTATTTTAGCTTACAAAAGTTGCCTCGACCAGAACTTTGTTGTTCTGAAAATGTTTGCTGTAACATTTGTTTTTTGATTGTTACTACATTGTTCATGGCAGGATTCCCAATATAAATTTACATTTTTTGTTCAAAATATTCTGATTTTCTTAAACAATTTTTAATTCTCAGACAATTACCCATTAAACTTTGATTAATCAATTTTGCCAACACTAATTTAATGTTTAACCAAATATATCAATTTATACATAATATGTACCTATTTTACTTACAGTGTATGTTCTTTTTTTTTATTTATTTATGGGATAACCCCATTAAAGAAAATTATGCAAAGACAAAGGTAGGTAAACAAAGTTACTATTTAACCCTACACAAAATGAGTTCATCTAAACTAATCTAACTTATAGTACTTAATTAAATTACAATTGAAAAACAAAATTTTAAGATCACATTAAGAGGAAAATTTACATTACAAACTAAAAGACCTGCGGGGCAACGGTAGTTTAGTAGGTATAAAAATTACAACTTAAGGGAGGAGCCTAAATACTACAAAATTACTTCCGAGAACAAACAAAATCAGCATTCATTCATAATTTTAACAATTGCATGTAGATACGAGGAATACATATTCTAAACTTTAACGCGCGAAGTTGAAGACAAAAAAACCGAAAAATATTCCACAATAGCACAAAATAATATTGCCTATGTTTTTTACAATAAAAGTATGGTGTAGATTAAAACTTATTTTGGCTGTCGACAAATTTGGTTCAAAAAATCTTCTTTTAGAAATATACCTTTCATTTGACGAAAAACGAAGGCCTAAACGAAAAAAAAAAATATTCTTCATAAAAGTTTCGCCTGTGTATTGACAAGGTAATAGTGCTTTCCTTATATTTTTCGCTATGAAATTAACAAAAATATAGCAATTAACAATTACTGATGTCATGGTTTCACAGGAAAGGAAGCAGTCTCTTGATTGCATGCCTCTCTCTCAGGGATGAAATGTATGCATTCTGTTAGACTCTCTTACATTATTTTATATAGGTATTATTGATTTATCCGCTATGAAGGCGAATAATGTTTTATAGGGTATATTACTTCATGATTTTTTTTTTGAGGAAAATAAAAAAATAAAATATAAACTATTTATGGAATGTATAAGCACAGTATATATAAGTATAGGTTATAAACAGTAAGGCTATTGCTTTGCAAAATACAATAAATTCCTAATAAAAAAATTCAAAAATTAGAAGTATATAAAGCATAAATTAATAATATTAAAATATATAAATACAGGACTCAAACTAATCAGGATCAGATTCACCACATTAATCTACATTTTCCAAAACATAGCGGCTATGATCAAACTATTTCTGCAGTTTTTCTGTGCCATACAGGTGCATTAACCGATGTAGCCAATATTTTTTTCTGCATTTGCAAAGTTTGCTTCCATAGTCTAGAATAAAATAATATTGTTAAAATATTGTTCATACAGTTCCTTAGATAATATAATAGCAGATAGGACACCACTGCATAAAGTTATACAATATTAATCTCGCTATCATATAATCAGTATCTCTCTTTCTAATGAAGGCTTTCTCACTCGTTTTAGAATTATCAGCAGTAGCGTACCGTAAAACAATTTCGCAGGGCCATTTTAAATGCGAATATTGTTGACCAACTAGAATATAAAATAAAATGTTTTAAAAGGTAGGTAGGTGCATTTTTAATGAAGTGAAAACAAAATATGACTTTTTTGTTATGAATATAATATTAATAACAATTACTTTTAACACCACAACACGAACAAATTTAAATTAAACACTGTCTAAGAAAAGCTCTGTAAAACTGACAAATACAAACAAAGAGATAGAGATATTAGTCTATTTCTCTCTAATTAGAATTCTCGACCATATTATCATGGCGACACAAAAATTGTTTACTGTCCTCTCTTACAGTTCATCAAATTTCTAGAGGCTTTCGACGGCTAGACAGAGAAAGCACTACTGACAGGCATCCCGACGGATTTACGCAATGAAAGTACACTCTGCGCATCAAGTATTTCACTATTTCATTCAGACGTAAATGTCAGATGTAAATTTCGCTAAAACATTTCTTTTATTTTCGTTTGTGTTTTTTGCTCATTACAGTTTAATAGAACCTAAGTATGGAGTTTAATAGCAAATTAAGAGGCCGCGTGATTAACAGTCAATCTCGCGAAATAATAGCCAATGTTATAGAGTTTATGAGAAGAGAAGGAAACTTTAATTCACCATCAATACCATTTAAAAATGTAAATGATCGTGTTGCTGCAGCCACAGGAGTATCTAAAAACACTGTCGTCCGCATTTCTGGAGAGAAAAAAAGAATCGATAACCGTGAGATATCGGAATTTTCATCACCAAGAAAAACCATTAAAAAAACAAAAACAGTTAATGATATAGATGAAGCTGACAAAGGTATTTTAAAAAGAATTATTCTGTTCATGTTAATCTCGGAAAATATTGTTCCAACATTAAAAAAAATTCTGACTAAATTTAGAGAAGCTACAGGGTACAAAGGAAGCTATGAAAGTTTAAGAAAAATAATAAAGCCGCTAGGATTTCGTTGGCGGAAAACAAAAACAAACAGAAAAATATTAATGGAAAGGTTTGATATTCAAAAGCTACGTTTAGACTATCTGATTCGTTTAAAAAGTTATCGAGCAGAGGGCCGTCCAATTGTCTACTTAGATGAAACATACATTCATGCCTCCCACACACACCAGAAAGTTTGGAGTGATAATTCAAATGAGGGATTAAAAAAACCAATTAATAAAGGTGATAGACTAATTATTGTCCATGGGCTTTATTCCGAATGCCCGGTTAATTTTCAAATCTGGAACCAAAAGTGGAGACTACCACGATGAAATGAATTTAATTCACAAAAATGTTAAATAGAAGAGGCGAACTCTGACCCTCTTGTGGCACACCATATGTAACATTAATTGTGTCAGAATAATAACCGATTTTTACCCATTGAATTCGGTCCATGTTGGAGATTTTTTAGGAATGTCAACAGAAAAACTATGTGTTTATTAATTATGAAAAATGTCACAAAATTATAATTTTGTAATAATACTCAAAACATCAAATTTATATTTAGTTTTTGAATGTCCATTTCCACAACAATTCCAATTTTACAGGAAAGAATACAGACTGTTTTTCTTATTTAATTATTGTTATCTTGTATACTATAAAAACGATGTAAAATAGTAATTTCCATACTTTATTTTAATGAAATATAATATACACACCTAACAAACAATTAATTGGGCATAGTTCCCATAATTCTACTTTTCTATAAAGAGTATAACACTTTTTACTCAATTGTTCACAAATTAATATTGTTTTCGCACCCTGTTCATCGAGAAGGAAGGAGCTTCTTACATTCAAAGATTCGGAAAGAAATTGGGCTTCAGATATCGGTATCTAGGTTTTTTAAAGATTATTAACATTTTAAAATAAATTTTTTTGACAGGTCATTCTATAGACCTCACGTTACAAGAACGACATCGGGTGATTATTAAAATAATACCCATCATTATCTGGCAAAGGTACGGTCCCGGCTGGTTTTGATAATCGAGGTTCTACTGTACTTGTAAAAATATGTATTTTAACCCGAGAACGCTTGCGCCTAAAAAGTTACGTTGATGCTCGCGGCCGGTCGTTTTGACCACTAGGAAACTCTTAAATTTTTTAGGATTTGTTATGATTATTAAAGGTATTCAACTATTGATATACTTTTTATTGAAACTTTATTGACTATAAACATAGGGTAGGTATGTTTTTGATCAAAAATAAAAATGACAAATTCGTAATAAGAAAAAACAAAGTGACTACTACGGCCATATATGTATATTTAATTAAAAAAAAAGTTGCTAATATTCCTCATTTCCTAAGCATCTTACACATATGTCTACCCTGTGTTCCTTGCAAATATATCTTGAACAAGTTTGACAGGTTGTGGTGGTTTTCCTATTTTTCTTTGAGCTACAATATCCACATCTTCCTTATCAGCTCTTGAGGTTGGCGGCACAGGATTTCTAAGTACGTTGTAAATACTGGTGCGAATATTCAATGGTATATCCATTGTCAACCGTCTATGTATATGCTCAGAACATAATTCCTTGGCAAGGCTCCTCAAAAATGCACGTCTCTTTAAATTTGCTTTGGTGTTGAACTCATAAATGACCTGGCTGTTGATTCCGGCAATATTCATTTCACAAAAGAAAATTGTTAGTGGCCACCTAGCAGTTTTTCGTAAAACTGAATAACTGCCTTTCATCTCGTCGACTTTATCTACACCACCCTTGGTTTTATTTTTGGATTTTTTACATTTTAAGGGGGGAAAACGGGCGGTGAAAGTTTATTTGGAAATATCGATTTTTTTGATTGAAAATTGGAATTGTAGGTTCTCATAAATAAATAATGAAGTGTTTCATGGTTTTTGGATTTTCACATTTTAAGGGGGGAAAACGGGAATAAAAATTAATAAAAAATGAATAAAAAATGAATAAAAATTATTAAAAATTAATAAAAATTAATAAAAATTATTAAAAATTAATAAAAATTAATAAAAATTAATAAAAATTAATAAAAATTAATAAAAATTAATAAAAATTAATAAAAATTAATAAAAATTAATAAAAATTAAATTAAAAAAAATTAATAAAAATTAATAAACATTAGTAAAAATTAATAAAAATTAATAAAAATTAATAAAAATTAATAAAAATTAATAAAAATTAATAAAAATTAACAAAAATTAATAAAAATTAATAAAAATTAATAAAAATTAGTAAAAATTAGTAAAAATTAGTAAAAATTAATAAAAATTAATAAAAATTAATAAAAATTAATAAAAATTAATAAAAATTAATAAAAATTAATAAAAATTAATAAAAATTAATAAAAATTAATAAAAATTAATAAAAATTAATAAAAATTAATAAAAATTAGTAAAAATCAATAAAAATTAATAAAAATTTATAAAAATTTATAAAAATTAATAAAAATTAATAAAAATTAATAAAAATTAATTAAAATTAATAAAAATTAATTAAAATTAAAAAAATTAATAAAAATTAATAAAAATTAATAAAAATTAATAAAAATTAATAAAAATTAATAAAAATTAATAAAAATTAATAAAAATTAATAAAAATTAATAAAAATTAATAAAAATTAATAAAAATTAATAAAAATTAATAAAAATTAATAAAAATTAATAAAAATTAATAAAAATTAATAAAAATTAATAAAAATTAATAAAAATTAATAAAAATTAATAAAAATTAATAAAAATTAATAAAAATTAATAAAAATTAATAAAAATTAATAAAAATTAATAAAAATTAATAAAAATTAATAAAAATTAATAAAAATTAATAAAAATTAATAAAAATTAATAAAAATTAATAAAAATTAATAAAAATTAATAAAAATTAATAAAAATTAATAAATATTAATAAAAATTAATAAAAATTAATAAAAATTAATAAAAATTAATAAAAATTAATAAAAATTAATAAAAATTAATAAAAATTAATAAAAATTAATAAAAATTAGTAAAAATTAGTAAAAATTAGTAAAAATTAGTAAAAATTAATAAAAATTAATAAAAATTAATAAAAATTAATAAAAATTAATAAAAATTAATAAAAATTAGTAAAAATTAGTAAAAATTAATAAAAATTAATAAAAATTAATAAAAATCAATAAAAATCAATAAAAATTAATAAAAATTTTAAAAATTTATAAAAATTAATTTAAATTAATAAAAATTAATAAAAATTAATAAAAATTAATAAAAATTAAAAGAAATTAATAAAAATTAATAAAAATTAATAAAAATTAATAAAAATTAATTAGAATTAATAAAAATTAATAAGAATTAATAAAAAAGGAAGTCATGTATTTTTTTATAATAATAACACGACTATATGCGAGCAAAGTCGCGAGCAAAGCCGCGGGCAATAGCTAGTACAATATAATTTTTGGTTTTCTGTTCACATCATCTTCAACCTCACCCTGATGATGCATCGTCGATATCAATGCAACCGCCTTACCTTTTTTGGGTATATAGGAAAGCAGAGTTACGTTATTTGTAAATCCAACAATTGTGCTCTTCACTTCCCTTTCATTAGAATCGACGAATTCTTTTGAAAGCTCTCTTTTATTTCTTCTGATAGTCCCGACAATTGTTAAATTTTCCTTTAGTAAGTCTTGAGCCAGATCAATTGAAGTGAACCAATTGTCCATGGTTATATTGCGCCTTGATCCCATAATAGGGCCAACAAGCCGCTTGACAACGTTGGTAGGACTATTATTTGACATAAAAGGACCGTCTGTCTGTTTCCCAGCATAAATTTCCATATTATAAGTATAATAGGAACGTGAGTCAGCTAAAGAAAAAAATTAATGCCATATTGGGCAGGCTTACTTTTTATGTATTGCCGGAAACCGCAACGCCCTCGAAAACTTTCCAGCATTTCGTCTATTGTAGTATCTGCTCCAATAGTGTAATTTTCTTGACATCTTTTTACAAATCCTTCAAACGAATGCCTGATGGGAGCTAACTTATCTGTTGTTTTTCGAGCTTCTCGGTCATGTATATTATCGAACCGGTTACAGCGCGTTATGAACTGAAACCTTGACAAAGTCATAACACATCGGAAGTATTCTATCCCTGTACCATCAGTGGCCCATAAATCCGAAAGATTTAGGTGTGAAGCACGTGAAACGCCGGCCAAATACAACAATCCCATAAATTCTCTTACTTCAATGACGTCTGTATCTCTGGAATCTCTTTCCCGTGTATAGTTAGCACGAACGGACTGAATTTTTATATTTGTACATACCACTATTTCTTCTATAACTTCATCAGGGAAAAATAACTTCCAGGAGGATAGTGGCGTTACAGCAAATTTCGATTTGTTTGTAGGACCTTCACGAAATCTTATAATATTAGCTGGTTTTGTTTTTGCGACACGGCTTATCGGAGGATATTTACACCACAACATTCCAGATTTTCCCACATAATTATCAAGGCGCTGAGACAAAGGCACATCGTCGTATGAATCATCATCACTACTGTCATCATTCTGATCAGGGTCTGACCGTTCTGAGTTCGTATCATGGTCGCTTTCTTCTAGAATCTCTGCTTCAGAGTCTGAATCACCCCCAACTATCTCTTCGTCTGTTGATACTTCCTCACACAATCTTTGTAAACGTTGGATTTCTTTTTCATATATCTAAAAAGTTATCTGTTATTATCTATTTGATTTTGTCACATTTATTTGATTGGAACCCTCAATTTCCTTGAAAACAATAAATAATTTGGTACAAACCTTAAAATGCTCGCGTGTCGGTTAAAACGACCAATTGTCAATTTTCAGCTTCTAGCAACACTCTCTCACAAAAACCAAAAGTAGACTGCCCCGCCGGTTCGACTCAGGACTCTCAGGAGTCAGGAGGACTCCAAAGCTCGTCGGACAATGACGGCCAAAATAAATGTGGGAGGGGGAAAATATATGCTTGGCGGCAAAAAGACCGGGGTGCGAGCATTCTCGGGTTAAATAAAAAAGTTATTCTTCATAATTTATTTTGCTTGTTAAATAAATACGATTCACGTTGAGAAACTTCGATTTTGCTGTACAATACAATATTGCGCATTATCAAAATAAAAAAAGAAAAATTAAAATTTTTTTTTTTTCGAATTCTGAACAACAAAATCAATGTTTCTTAATATGAATCTATTTATTTAACAAGCAAAAGAAATTATGAAGAATATACTTAATATAATTAATTATTATCCAAAATTTTCAATATAAATGTTTTTTATTTAGGTTGTCGCTACCTCCAATAATATTTGCTTTTGGAATCAGTTCATTTATTGGTAGTGGATTGATATTCGCAACAGGTGTAATATATGGTATGATGGCTTTAGGCAAAAAGTAAGTAGTCACAAATTAGTATTATTAAAATAATATATTTACGTTATCAATTTTTAACAATTATACAGTATATGTATAAGCTATTTATTTATGTATGAATTAATTTCATTCTCAAAATAAAATACCCTGATAAAATTTAAACACAAATAATATGTCTACCTACTTTTTAAAGCAAATTACAAATATTTGTGTAATAAGATACATTATATTGTTAGTTGAGTAGAAAATGGAAACAGGGATAATTAAAAATTTGGTATTTTTTACTTCTGAAATACCAAAATTATTTTTTAAACTTTTTTAAAGGCTTTTATTGTAAGTAAAAGTGATAATTGTTTTAAGATGATACAAATATGGATCTTTCTTGAATAACATAAAGGATGGAGAAATAATTTTGATTTTTGCACGAGTTTTATCGAGCTTCAGAATGAAATATTAGAATTATAAAGGTAGAGGGTCCAAATATTATTTTAAAGGGTCCATTTTTTTACTTGGTCATACTTTAGGGGTAAAGTACCCAAATATGTTTGATTAAGGGACCAACTATTTTGATATGGACATAAAGGGACCAAATATTTTTTCATGGACAGGCTTAAGGTATAAATGTGCAAAATATTATTACATGGGCAGGCGTAAGTGGTAAAATATTTTTACTTAAGCAGGCTTAAGAGGTAAAGGGTTCAAATATTTGTACATATGCAGGTTTAAGGGGTAGAGGACTCAAATAGTTTTACCCACTGATCTGTATTATTTACTGGATATGATGTAGGTTATATTTGACATCGTGCAAATATGTGCTAACAAGGGGTCCGAAAGTGCCATTAGCTGGACCGTTTGGTTAAATTGTAGCAGGCAAATTTGAAATTCAATAAAGAACTAAAACATTTTATTTGAAAATGATTAATTTTTAATACAAAAATTACTATTACTCGTATTAAATGTTTTTTATATTAAACAGACTTATAAAATGTTTGATTTTACTTGTAATAATAAATTTCTATCATAATTTAATTTTTTATTAAAGAAAATGTTAAAAATGGGAAAAATATGTTAATATATATATATAAATGAACGTTTATGTCATTATACTAATACTATCCAACAGTACCTACCTATATTGGTAGTCTAGAGTATAGTAGAAAGAAAGATTATGAAAACTATGCTAAGGATGTTTAAGATTACTCAGGGGCTACAACAAAACTAAAAGGAGATAATAGTAATAAAAATAAAAAACTGCATAGAACTACATAGATGGTTGAGTCATTTTATAAGGAGCTGATATGAAATAGTAGTAGTACAGAATACGAAGTTAAGTCAACCTTCGCCTATCTGCCTACTGGATAAAAGGATTTTATTAAATAAAATATGTTACTGCAAATAGGTTGCCTAAAAAAAATACTGTCACATCTATTTTTAGTATAGTAATTAATCATAATAAAAGTTGCTTGTGATGTCATTCTCTATAATTCTTCTTCTATGCATGATTTCCCTAAAATGAATTGTATTCGAGATATTTAAGGGAAAGTGTAAATTTCGTATTTTAAAATTAAGCTTTAATCCATCCTGTGGTGAGCTGATTACATTTTGGGCATAGTCGAGGCATCTGAGGATCTTTATCTTTGTCGGTTGTAAGCAGGTAGAGGTTTGGCCAAAACACTGCGGCTTCAGGGAGTATCTTTGAAATAGTCCTGTGTCTTTGGTTAGTTTTGATAAGTTCGCATTCGAAGATCACATAGTATGAGGTTTCTTCCTCTTCCATGCAGAGTCTACACGTAGTGGAATCATTGTGTAATCCCATCATATGAAGGTGTTTCAGCAAGCAGTGCCCCGTTAGCAATCCCACAATGGTGGATATCTGAGGCCTTGCGAGTTGTAGTACCTCAGTAGCCATGAGTAGGTTTGGTCCCCTTAGCATGAGCTTACTGATTCTGTGCCCTCTTATATGTTGCCAGTGAATTTGGTGTTTTGTGTTTATCCACCTGTTCACTGCCTGTCGAGCAGAGGTTTTGCTTATCCCAAATACAGGTTCGGGTCCTGTGAATGGTAGATCTGATCCCTCTTTGGTGAGTTTATTAGCCTTTTTATTTCCTTGGATACCTTTGTGGCGTAGTACCTACGCTAGTTTTACCTTGTTGTGGGTTGACAGATCATTTAGTATTCCAAGGCAGTTCCAGACAAGCTTTGACTTAATTCTGTATAAGACTGCTTGGCTATCTGAGAGAATTAGGGTAGTTTGTTTTTTGTACTTCTTAATTCTCTCGTACACACAATTCGATTGCATATATTTCAACCTGAAATATGGTGGTATGTTTTCCTAGTGAGACGATGATGTCGCATTTGGGTTTAACTCGATGTACGCCAGAGCTTATTCCCTTGTTAGTTTTATACCCATCCGTATACCATACGAGACCGCTAAGCAAGTATTTATCTATCTCCTTATTTACCTCGCTCCAGTTACAGTTGACCTGGAATAGTCTGTTGAAGGTTAGGAGGGATGTTATGTGATCTCATTCCATGTTTAATATAGAATAATTTACTTCATGTGTTATTCTGGTATGTTTTATATGTCCCAGTGAGTTCCAGTTGTTGAAGATTTCCAGTCTGTATGCACTCATTCTGGCCTCCCCTTTTATGACTAAGTCAGGGAGTGGGAGGTTTAGAATAATTTCCATAGATGCTATCGGTGTACTTCTCAGTGCTCCTGTAAGACAAAGGCATGCCAGCCTCTGAACTCCAGAGAGGGTATTGAGGGCTGTTTTCTGGTTTACTTTTGGACACCAAACAACCGCTCCATAAGTTATCATGGGTCTTGTTATTGCCAAATATACCCAGTGGAGTATTTTCGGTTTTAATCCCCATGTTTTTCCAAATACCGGTCTCCCTACAATGAGAGATATTTTACATTTGTTGATCACTTTTTGTGTTGGTTCCAAGTAAGTTTGCTATCTAGGATTAGACCCAGATATTTTACTTGGTTTATTTTGTTTATCTTGGTTACAAGATGATGCAGAGCAGACTCACAAGATTTTTCTGATTGATAGGCATGTTGGTTTGTATGAAATGGCCTCTCTATCAGAGTGGTTTGCCGGACATGCTGATCAATCGGTTTTTCCAAACCTTTCAATAGAAATGACGTCAGAGTTATTGGTCTATAGGCCTTTGCCACGGCATACGTTGGTTGCCCCGGTTTAGGTATAAAGGCAACTCCGCTTTGCTTCCAGGTATTTGGCACATGTTTATGCACCAAACTTGCCGTGTAGACTACTGTAGAGCCTACACATATGCGGGTCCAGCGTTTCTATTGCCTGTTGCAAAAGCACACGCAGTACCCCATCTGGTCCTGGTGATTTGTATGGATTGAAGGTGCGTATTGCCCATGTTATTTTCTGTTGTGACTACCCGTTTAGCAGTTACCCACTCTTGGCTGGATATTCTTTTTTAAGAGTTCCAGTTCGTGTTGGTTTGGTTTGCTGCATTCTAGTTTGTTGTGCAATCAGGGAAATGAGTTTTAAGAAGTAGTTCTGTTTCCATTCCAGTTTTAGTGTGTTCCCCTGTTTGGGTTTTTAAAGTTCCCACAGGGTTTATTGAATCTTCTAGAATGTGGTGGAGTCTGCATCCTTCAGTTGTATTTTCAATATCCTGACATAATGGTTTCCATGAGTCTCTCTTAGATTTCCTAAGAGTTTTTTTATACTCTGTGAGTGTTTCGGTGTATTCCCCCCACTTGTTCGTCTTTTTTACCTGTTTTCCTTCTGAGTTTGGCAAGTTCGGTGTTCCACCAGCTCACCTCCCTAGAAGTTTTCCTGTTCTTTAATGAGCAGTTATTGTGATATGATGTTATAATTGCGTCCCGTAGTTGTTCTGTAACTTCATCTATATCATTTTTAGTACTAAGAGTTATTTTAACGGTTTTTAACACTGCCCCCAGCTCCACCCCGTATCCAAACCAATCGGTTTTAAGTGTGTCTCAGTATACATCTCCTGATTTATCGACGTTGTCGATTTCCATGAGAATATGCCGATGATCTGAGAGCGAAGGCTCTCTAGATATGTACCACTTGCCATTGTGATTTGAAACGAAGGATGAACCAAGGGTAATATCAATAACCTCGCTCCGTCTACTGGTTACAAAAGTAGGTTCATTTCCACGATTCAATATTTCCAGGTTAGTGGTTAGAATGAATTCAAGTAAAGATTCACCTCTTTTGTTGTTGTCCTTGCTGCCCCATGTTGCATGGTGTGAATTTGCGTCGGCAGTAATGAGTACCTGCAGGTTTCCGGACCGACAGGTATCTACTAGATCCCTTAGCTCATCTGTTGGTGGAGGGCTGGGCGAGTCATAGGGAAGGTATGCAGAGGTTAAAATGAGTGGCCTCTTCTGGTCTGCTATGTTTATTTCCTTCCTAACTGTTACTAGGTCTCTTTAACAGACATCTTGTAAGTTGAGGATGTCTAGACCATTTCGTATGTATATACAAGCCCTAGTGTTTTCACATTGGGTATAATATATTAACTTACCTTTGGTTTATCCGAGTCCCATCATATGCCCTTTGTAGATCCAGGGTTCTTGTATTAGGGCTACGTCTATGTCCTCCCTGATAATGGTACGTGCAAGGGGGATACTTTATAGGGTGTCGTTTTTTATTTTAAGAAAATAGTATCGACAGTATTTTCGTAGGTAACCCATTTGCGTTATATTTATAAAGATATTTTATTTGATAAAAAATAAATTCCATCCGGTAAGCAGATGGGCGAAGGTCGACTTTACTTCGTATCTTAGACTATAAATGATGAGTTAATCATTGTTATAACAGCACCCAGGAAGACGTCAACTATACATAGAAAAATGGTTAAAAGATGTGGAAGAAAATCTTTTCTCTAACCATTTCTATCATAATTATACAAACCACTTTATAAGACCGAAAATGTATTGAAATTTGTGCGACATATATTCAAAAATTGATAAAAATAAATATTTACTTTTAAAAGTTTCTACACTTTAT